TATTTTATTACGTATTATTATTATTTTGCTCTCTTATTTATTTCAATTTTTTTCTGATAGAATGACAATAGAAGCATATCAACTTGAACGACCTAATAAATTTTAAAACAAAAAAACGATATATTTCAACACGAAACTTTTAATATGGTTCTTCTTAAGTCAGTGTATTCAGCGATTTTTCAGATAATAATAATGGCCTAAGTGTTTAAGCTCCGTTTCTAATGTATAAAAGCAGAAAAAAAAAAGTTATAATTATACTTTTATATTTATTTTGTTTTTTTTTTATACAAATTAACATTAGAATTAATCGTATTTTTTTTAATTACTGTGCCATTGTTCGATCTATTTTTGTCCTGTTAAACAATAAATATTGATCGATTGTATGTAAGCAAATGATAAATATATTCAATTTTCCAAAAAAGAAAAGAGCTGTTCTTTCTTTCCAGATTGAATGAGTGTTGCTTTTCTTGGTGGATTGAATATATATTTAAGATCGTGATGGTTTATATAATAAGATAATATTGTATATAACATTGTTGAACACTCTTACAATTCATGTAATAGCCGCTATATAAGAAAAAATAAAAAATTAACTTAACTGAAACTCTTTTCTGTTATTCATTAGTAACCTTTATTGATCACATTAATATCGATCAATTTATATCGACACGATATTAATGATTTTTTAAATAATTATATACACACAATATTTTTACAAAGATCAAAAAATTAATATAAATTTGTAAATACATTTATCGTATTAATATTTATTAAAATTATGATTTAATATCATGGAAGATAAATATAATTGATATAAAAAATAATTATAATTCGAATACTATTCTACTTTTAAATATCAAATTGTATATAAAATGCTTTTATGATATAATTTTTTCCCTGCATAATTATACGCGTATTAAAAATAGTATGGACATTTTATAAAAAATTATATAAAATTTTATAAAAATTGTAAAATTATAATAAATTGTAATAAATATTTTAATCTTGCAATTTTTCATTGATATGTAATTATTATAAATTATTATTATTATTATAAATATAATTGGACAATTAGTTTCCATTCATTTTGCAAGAGATTGAAAATTATGTTTTTTATAAAGAATACATATTGATAAATGCATTAAATGCGAAATTCTATAACAAGAGAAATGTAATATTTCTGCATTTGATATTTTCAAAGGTTTTCTTTTTCAATACATTTTTGTTAATGTATTATCAGACGTAAAAAAAAAAAATTGTAAACATAATTCAGAATAAAATAAAGAATTAGGAATATTCAAATCATGTATATTTATCGATTACAAGAATAAATCTTATATTTCTAAATGTCTTTATCACAAATAATTATGAAAAGCTTTTTTTTTATTTCGTATATCAATGAATTATTAAATATATAAGTTTCAATGTTTGACGATATCTAATTTAGTTTGCTCTATACAAATTAGATTGATTTATCTATTGATTTATCTATATTTATATTGTAACAAATTATTTTGTAATTACAGCATATGTATAGTGTGTGACTAATAACGATCGACTAAGAATTCCTTACGAGGTATAAGCGCAATGTATCATCGATGAAGAAGCTGAAAAAAAAGTCGGATAGCGCGAGAGGCGGGCAAGCGAGCAAAACTGCAGGCGCCACAAATACAAGCGGAGATGCATCACCTACCCGTGTGTGTAGAGATTTCCTGCGAAACGTATGTCACAGGGGTAAACGTTGCAAGTATTTACACGAACGTTCCGAAGACGATCCTATAGACGAATATACGTTCTGTCATGACTTTCAAAATGGTATGTGTAATTGGCCTGGATGTAAATTTCTTCATTGTACGGAAAGTGAGGAGAAGAGATTCCGAGCAACAGGAGAATTACCTGCTCATATCTTGAGCAGGCTCAAGAATAATAATGAGAAATCTGAATATCCTATGTGCAAAGATTTTATTAAGGGTAGTTGTCAAAGAACAAATTGTAAATTCAGACATTGGAAGAATGAAGAACCACAGCATAATTTGATTGCTACTTCCCATCATAATGTATCTAGACCACAGCATAATTTTAATGGCACTAGTAATGATGAAAATCGGAGATACGAAGAGGATAGAAAGTAAGTTTATTCAATGTTTTATTTATTTATTTTTTTTTTGTTATTCAATTTTAAAAGAATACGATTTTCTTTAAATACTTAATATGCTTTGATTTTAAATATAAATATTTTTGAAATATATCTTTAATAATATATCTATATATTTTATTTATTTTATATTTAGTTTCCACTGGCAAATGGAAGATCAACATAACTTAGTCACAAATAATGGTTATAATACATCTTCACATCCACCTGATTATATAGGACCTCCTGAACCAAAGAGACGAATAGTTTCTGGTGAAACTGTTGTTCATTTTGAAGCTTCACAACTTGTAGGCCAACATACTGCACAACCAGTTACACCAGGATACTATTATCCAGTAATACCACGTAATGAAGCTAGAGCAATTGTTTTAGAAGATGAAAATGCTTTATTAAGAAAAAAAATAGAAGAATTAAAAAAACAAGTTAGTATAATTTTACTATTATAATTTTTTCACATTCAATGTATATAATAAATTTATATATATTATTTTTCAAGGTTAGTGATTTAACAGCAACTAATGAATTTCTTTTGGATCAAAATGCTCAGTTAAGAATGTCAGGGAAACGAACTGCAAATGTAACGGCTGTTACAGTTCCTGCAGTTACTATTACAAATACTGTTCCACCATCACAAGCTCCAACACCTCAACAAATGGTTAATGCAGCAGTAGCTGCTGGTACCTTACGTACAGTTACTGCAAGTGTTGCGACTGTTCCTGTAAGTATAGCTACAGTTGCACCTGTTTCTATTGCAGCAGTTTCAATGGCACCAGTATCAATTCCGCCTCCCATTGTTACAATGGCTCAACAAACTATTACAATGAGTGGTTCAGGTCCACAAGCAACTAATCAACAGCCACCTAATACACAACAACCAGCTAGCTTACCTCTTTCAATATCTGGTGCTACTGCACCATTGGTTTCGTATCCTATTATGACTCAAGAACTTAGGCCGGTATTGCAGTAAATATACTATAAATGAGAAAGGAACATCAAATAATACCTCAAACATTTGAAGAATCAAGAATGCTGTCTTCTGCATTCAGTCTTTCAAAATGATATTGTATTTCTACTATTTTTTCGAATATAAGTGATGAATGTGAAAAGAAATATCTTCAGACGATCAAAAATTTTAGAGAAATAAATTGTTGAAAATATCATATTAATAAAAAAAAAATGCGACATCTTCAATATTTATGTAGAAACTCATAGAAATTATGTACAGGATAAACATAATGATCATAACTGTTTTTTAGCAGTATAGCTTAAATAACATGCCCTTATTATAATCTCTTAAGTCTAGTATTTTCGTTCCTTTCAATAGTTTACCTTGTAAAAGGTGTTGACTACATTAATATGTTAATATGCAACAATAAATGTCCAAAGTGTGTATAGATTTAGATTAATAAGAATACTGATCTAAAACCATGTTGAATGGTTGAGAATGATATTCTCTTATTCTTTTTTTGATATTGTAATATCATAAAAATACAAATAATTTTGTAGGTAATTTTTTGTATTATTAAAAAAGATAATCAGATACAAGTAAAAAAAAATGTAAATTAAAGAAAATATAGATAAGAAATGACTTGTTTAGACTAATATGTTAAAATAAGTACAAAACTAGGATGAAGCATGTAAATGAATTATATTAAAAGTTCAAACTTAAGGTTACTGTTTTCTAATGGTGAACCTTATATATTCTGTACGCAATGCTGTAAATAATATTTTGTTGCTTCCTCATTTTCTCAGAAAAAATTTTTATACTTCCATCTCTTTAACAAATAAGTTAACTACTCTTATAAAATAGTGATATTTTAATAAATTAAGTACTTACTTATTGTGGTCTTTTGTGTTTTTACAATTTTACTTAAGTAAATGGCTTTGCATTCAGGTGATGGAAAGTAAAGACTATGGTTTTAAACCGAATGTAAGAATCAGATACACAGACATGTAACATGCATCCCATAAACCAAATAAACATATGTACATGTTTTCAAGTTATATTATCAGTCATGGATTGATATATGTGTAAATATATTTTGCGTAATTAGTATAAGAAATTGAGCAATAAGTACATACTCTTGTATTTTATATATGCATACAAATGTATAATCTTTTATGTATCATTTTATGTTAACAAGCATCTCATTAAAATGATAAATCTTTAAATTCTTCAAAAATAGCATTCATATTATATTTTTTATTAAACTAAAAAAATTTGATACGTTTGTATAATAAGACTTTTTTTAATTTAATATTAAAATTAAATATATTTAAAAAATTTATTAATTAATTTTATTTAATTAATTTTATTTAAAAAATTTTTAAAGACAATAATATGTAATATATTTAAAATAGCTTTTTGTACAATTTATTTCATTTAAATTTTTATTTTCATTTTAATTTTCTATTTTAAAATATTCGTTAGACCAAAAAAATAACTTTAAAGAACAATTGAAGAAAAAATATTGATATTTGATATGATATTAATTGATAGTAAATGTGACTGGAAATTAAATATTGAATGTATTGTAGTTTATAGTATTATCTATCTGATTAGGTGATGAATATGTTAATAGAATCTCCATAAAAAATAATATGTTATTACAATATTTTTACTCTTATAAAAATAATATTTTTAATTCTTGAAATTGTGAAATACAAGAGTTTCATTTAAATAATTTTTAATTACATTGTTTTAACATTTAAAATATTTCAATGTAATTTATTTTGTTAATACATTGATAAATTTTGTTTGATTTATTTAATATAAATTTAAAATTAAATGAAAGGTCTTATATATAGATCTACAAATTATTTATATTGAATTTTATAATTATCATTATGATATTTTTTATATTAATATTTTATATTTTTTGTACATAAATAATTATAAAATCAGAATAAATATATCTTGTTATAAGTTAAATTATTATTTATATACAAAAATATTTATTTATAATTTATAAAAATATCTAAATATGTATTTTATAATTTGCAAAATTAATATAATATGATAATAAGATCTTTTAAATTTTTTCAATGAAAATAAGAAAATTTTATTAATTCATATTTGTGAAGTTTTTTTCTTAAGACTAAGTGAAATATAATTGACCATCCATTAGTTTTCAGTGATCAATCTTACAATAAAATATTAATAAATGAATATAAAAATTTTATTTTCTATATAAGAGAAAATAAATATGTAATGAAAAATGTTTTAAAACTATAATATTATTACACAATTTTGAAAATATATTTTTTCAAAATTATTCTATTCAGAATTATTATATTTTGTATTTTTTTTTTTTTTTTGCTGTTGTAGAAAAGTTTGCATTATAATAACATTCTAT